AGGAAAGGAAAGGAAAGGAAAGGAAAGGAAAGGAAAGGAAAGGAAAGGAAAGGAAAGGAAAGGAAAGGAAAGGGGATATCTGTTATGTGGAACAAGAGCTAGCTTGAAAATCAGCCAGAGTTCTTGTTAGCACTTCCTCATCCGAGTGGAGTTATCCTACAGGTTGCCACAGGCTTTGGTCCTGAGCCAACTGTGATTCAACTTTTTCATTCATGACTCAGATGAGGGAATGCTTACCAAATTTGCAGGTGACTGACTCGGTTGGAATAGCTACTGACTCCAGAAGAGAGAAATCACATTCAAAAAGTCTTGGAGGGTTTAAGAAGTGGGCTGAAGAGAATGACATGTTATAGAGACCAGCAGCCTCCACAGGAACTTGCGGCTTTCATCAGAGCGACGAAGGCAGCTTCGTGAGGTCACATCACACCTCTGCCCCTTTGGGGACATGTGCAACGTCGCCACGCCTGTAGAAAAGGGGCAGGACTTGCACAGTGAGCCCTTGATGGCCATGGCATTAATCTGCCTCCCTTCCTTGCCTCCCCCCCTTGCAAATTCCACTGACAGAGATAAATGTAGCGTTCCTCACTTAGGAAAAAGCAATCAAACGCGCAGGTATAGAGTGGGTGATCCTTCGCTTGGCAGCAGCAATGGTTAAAGCTGCCGCCACCAGCTGAATATGAATTAGCAGGATGACCTGGCCCTCGAAAACCAGATGCGGCTTGAGGCTGCGTGGGCAGAAGCGTGGATTCCAATCCTAATAAGCAGCCCTTCCATTTTGTTCTGCTTTGGTTCAGCCCCCACCCTCAGTTCTGGGCACCACCCTTTTAAGAAAGATTCAGAGAAACTGGGGAAACTGGAACAGCTCCAGAGAGGGGCAGGGAGGCAGGGCAGGGGCTTGAAACCCCATCTTACAAAGAGAGAAGAAGGGGACGGGGTATGGTTCGCCTTGAGAAGGGAGCATCGCAAGGGCAGGGCAGACAGCAGATCTCCAGCCTCTGAAGGGGTGCCCCCTAGAAGAAGGTGAAGATCTGTTTCATCTCATCCAGAAGGAGGACCCAGAACCATGACCAGCTTTCAGAAGAATGTTAGGAAAAAACGTCCTGGTAGCAAGAGCAGTTTGATGGTGGAATTAAAGGTGCAGAGAGCTGGTGGGGTCTCTTTCATTGAGTATGTTCAACAGAAGGTGGGCAGCCATTTCTCAGCAATGCTTTACCCTGAATTCCTCCACTAAGCAGGCATCTCAGCCCTTCAAGGTAGGCCAGGTCTGGAAACAGACACCACAAGGATTACAGGAATGTTACTGTTTTCTTGCTGGGTATGATAACACAATTTTGAAAGCCTGACAGAGTTTCTCTCTGTCCCCTTTTATACCAAGGAGAATCAAACCAGAGTTATTTTGAGTTTCTCTCTCATGCTCTCCCCTTTCCCAGGACCGACATCATTTTTATCTTTTTGAATGGCTCCTGGCCTTCTTCAAAGTTATCTCCATATTCCTGTGGAATCCTTCCTTCCTTCCTTCCTTCCTTCCTTCCTTCCTTCCTTCCTTCCTTCCTTCCT